TAAATTTATACACAGTGTTTAGGGTCATGAAACGAAGAAGTCTATTGTTTTTTAGCGATTTTCGATAATTACTGTCGGACTTATGGCCCTTGATCACTTCAAAATATCTTGTGGACGCTCTAGGTCAAAGTTAATATTCGATTGACTTTAAATTTATACACAGTGTATAAGGTCATAAGACTAAGAATCCTATTGTTTTTCAGCGATTTCCGATAATTACTGCCAGAGTTATGGCCCTTGATCACTTTGAAAAATCTTGTGGACGCTCTAGAGACTAAAGTTAATATCCGATTGACTTTAAATTTATACACAGTGTTTAAGGTCATGAGACGAAGAAGCCTATTGATTTTCAGCGATTTCCGATAATTACTGCCAGAGTTATGTCCCTTGATTACTTTGAAAAATCTTGTGGACGCTCTAAAGGCTAAAGTTAATGTCCGATTGGCTTTAAATTGATACACAGTGTTTATGGTCATGAGACAAAGAAGCCTATTAATTTTCAGCGATTTCGGATAATTTTTGCCAGAGTTATGGCCCTTGATCACTTTGAAAATTCTTGTGGACGCTCTAGAGGCTAAAGTTAATATCCGATTGACTTTAAATTTATATACAGTATTGAAGACCATGAGACGAAGAAGCCTAGTGATTTTCAGCGATTTCCGATAATTTTTGCCAGAGTTATGGCCCTTGCTCACTTTGAAAAATCTTGTGGACGCTCTAGAGGCTAAAGTTAATATCTGATTGACTTTAAATTTATACACAGTGTTAAAGATCTTGAGACGAACAAGTATATTGATTTTCAAAGAATCTTTATGACTTGAACAGCTAAAACCATGATGTTTAAAGTTTTGTATACTAAATGTTAGCATGGGGCAGAACTTTATAAAAACCAAACAAATTCTAATGGTTTTCTGATAATTACTTAATGAGTTGTTACTCTTAATCAGATTTTAATGTATTATAAATGTTTCATTACCGAAAAAAGTAAAAATATGTGACAACTCTTGTTGACTGCCCGGACGTTATAGCTGCTGTGGGCGTATGTTTCGTTGCCTGGCAACCTATCTTTTGGTGATTCCCAACCCCCAGGGGCAGAGCCACACCCATTTTTTGTTTATGTCTCTGTGTGTTGCCTACAGGTCACGATTCTTAATGGATCGTCTTTGAACTTGGGATATGTATTCCTTATAGCCTAAGGATGACAACTCCATGTCCCAACCCCAGGGGCAGAGCCACGCCCAATTTTTGTGTTTATCGTTTACAGGCCTTAATTCTGAATGGATCAACTTGGTACATGGCATATTTATCCCTTATAGCCTAAGGGCATCAACTATTGAATTTGAAAGCCCCGACCCCCAGGGGCAGAGCAAAGCCCAAATTTTGCCTCTAGTGCCTGAAGCACGGATCTTAATCGGATGTTTTTTGTCGGCTTTAGCCGCTTGAAGTTCAATCAAGCTGATTGGTAAAACAATAAACCGGCCACTATGGTATCATAAATCAATCTACTTTCGGCTAAATTACAACGGGTTAATTATTACTTGTTAATTAAGTAGTCAATCAACTTACTTGTCGGCTACAAAAACAGTCATACCTTAGTGAAAATAGGCCATGTAGTTCATAATCCGAGTAATTAGCACAAGTACATGTAACTGTAATTTTGATAATCGGCCGGTGAAAAAACAAAACAAGCTTGCTGACTATTCATAACAGCCACGCGGCAATCGAAGGAAGACGATCTTGGCATGGATTGTGCATCTATCGCGTGCCTTTGAAGATTTGTATGAATTCCAGGTGTACCGGTAGATATTAAAATAATAATTGGATCATAATTTAATGGTTACACTGACCAGTTGTTAGTTAAATTTAAATCTTAGTTGAATATAATCCTCGGATAGAACACCGAATACACCGAGAAACAGTCATTAATAATATATTATGATTCTCGCATGCTGAATTCTCGATGACAGTGATATCAGTTGGAATTAGGTCAGTAAACCAGCGATGCTAGTTTTAGTTTTAAATAGCGTTTACCGTTATGAATTATTTTATACACATGCTGACAGACGCTTATTTTTTAAAAAAGTATTGTTGTTATTGTCATTGAAAGCTATATGGCACAGTCCTATGGAATTTAACGTTGAAGTCATTTCAATTATGGTTGTCATGTGATCACTGTGCCGTGTGTCTTATCATGGACGAATGAATAAAAACATTTGCAAGTTACGTGGTAGATAAAAACCCTACAAATTGTGTTATGAAGAAATACCACGGTGCCGTATCAGCTTATATCCATCCAAAAAAACAAAACGAATACAGTAATTTATTCAGGAATATTGCTGACATGAATTTCAAGCCGGTAGGTGAATTAAATATGGAAAATTTTCCGAAAGATGTACCTGTTTGTCGTTATTTTTGTGCTAATTACATACAGTAGGATATGATATTCCTCATAACAAATTAATAAGAATTATTATTGTTGAAGTCTGGTTATATTAAAGGGAATGGAAGCTTAAAATTTTAAAACCCAGTTCCTAACCGGACCTCATTTGACCCAATTCTGGCCGCTTCGTTTCAAAATGGATTAAGAACCCTGGCCTGAAAGCCACAATTCTGAATGGATTATCTTGGAACTTGGTATACTTATTCCTTATACCCTAAGGACAGGAACTATTGATGTTGGTGCACAACCCCCAGGCCCCTCCTCCAGCCCCCACCCCCTGCCCTTTCGGCTCTGCCACACACACTTTTTGTTGATATTTTGTCTGTAAATTATATACAGGTTGCAATTATAAACAGATTTGGATCCAATTCTGAATGATCCAGCATAGGGTTGTACCTATATATATATATATTGGTCCATGTCCAAATGGATCATTTTGGAACTTGGCATATTTATTCCTTATACTGTAAAGATAGCAACTATTTATTTTGGTGCATGTCCCGCCCCCAGGGATGTAGTACCACACCAGTGATGGGATTTCAAAAAATTTCATGTCGGACATTTTTTCCCGAAAATAAAGGGGCATAACTCTTACCGTAATTTAAGCAGACGTTTTCAAAACACAATTAAGAATCATGTGTCAACAAAATATATTCAAATTCATATGTAAAAAAAAAATAGGTGCACCTCGTTATATTTCATGTTTAAAACCTGTGCGGTATTCAAATTTATGTCAATAATATTCCTACAAAATTACATGACATCGTATGATCGTAATACTATAGAATTGGCAGCGTGCCGACTGCTGCCAATCTGTTTCAAATTCCCCCAAAATTACCATATTTTTCAGGTCATACGTCGGTACATTTTTCAGCAAAGTCCGACATTTGTCTGATACTCCGTTTCGATTTATATACGGAAGGTAAAAAAATGACATCCTGAAATTTATTTGGCCGTAAACCGTAGTTAACGACGCCCTAATGAGCGAGTGTAACCAACTTCTAAATAATTGCATTCGACTGTAGCACGCGCTATCGTCTAAAACAATTAACTACTTACGTCATTCCAATCGAAATATTCGTCAACATTTCTTAGCGAGTGTATTTATTTATTTAAAGACATAAACCCCCTTCAAAATATGATCATAAATCCGACAATATGCTATCAAAATAGAATCTTTTCTCGAACATCAGGTGTATTGGATTCAGCACGTATACATCTCTTAATTTCACGTGTCTCGCGAGATTTGTACTTTCATTTTAATTACTGAACTCTATAAGCGCCATGTGTGTGAAATGTCTTTAATTAACTTCGGCTTCCACCGAAAATATATCACAGACAAGTTATCGGATACAATGTATGTTGATTTGAGGTGTTATATACTATCAGGATATGTGACATATATGACTAATTTCTACGTGTTATTGTCCGACACAAAGGAGATTAAAACGTGAGACAATGGTCCCTCTTATTGGGTTGATATATCGTCCGACAAAGGAGAAGCAATGACTTCTGTTCAGGATTGATTTGATGAATTGTCCGATAAAGAATTAGTTCAGCCAATCAAGGCAGAATAGTAGTTAATCAAGGTAGGTGTGTAAGACGATATAACACGATAAATAGTCGATCACTTAATTACCTAATCAATCCTGCCTATTGTCAACGATAATCGGGTTGCACGGTAGTTATACACTCAGTACACTATATTAATTTTGGAATTTGAATATTATTCACCATGTCTTGATGTCCGATTGGGCATATTCCCGGTCGGACAATTTTGGGCGTTTCTAAAAAAGATTCGGACAAGTCCGGAATATACGGGTAAAATCCCATCACTGTACCACACCCACTTTTTTGTTAATTTTTATCTGTAAATACTCTTCAGGTTGCAATAATTAACAGATTTTGTTCAAATTCAGCATATCAATCATTTCAATAACAGGGTGGTACCTATTTATATTGTTCCACATCCAACCCGCAGGGGCAGAGCCATGCCCAATTTTTGTATTTATCGTCTACAGGCTGCAATTCTGAATGGATCATCTTGGAACTTTGCATATTTATTCCTTACACCGTAAAGACAGCAACTATTTATTTTGGTGCATGCCACGACGCCCAGGGGCAATGTCACACCCACTTTTTTGTTAATATTTTTCTGTAAATTTTGCAAAACAAACCCAACGCCTAGCTCTTCATTGCCCCTTGTCATATTACAGCCATTTCATATTTCATTCTCTTCATTTTAAAAAGTATGATATCGATCAAAGCATGCATGTGGATGTATATTGCAGCGTTAGCGATGCACTTGTTGATAATGACCTCCAGTGTTAAGTGGGATAAATCATAGTGAAAACTGAATCATCAGATAGGGTCAACATATGTTCATTAGATAGTGTATAATGCTTAACACATAAGCTGTGAAATTGATTAAATGTTGAAATCATCATATTAACTATTTTTTATATATATACATGTACATGTTTTAGCTCACAAAATCCTTTAGAAAATAAAAAACCTGCTGCAACAGTGCTATTCATTCAGTTTGATTTGTTTGTTTCAGAATGGTGTACCAAATATTTTATGTGGAGCCGGAGCTTTAAAAGAAGAGGTATAAAACAATTATAATTCAGAACTTTCTGTTTGTTTTAGCGTTTACATGTATAACTTAACACTGCATAGCATTTGATGTAATCTTTGTCAGTCATTGATAAGGGATCTGGCATGTCTGTCAGATGGATGACTATATATGAGCTGCAAGTAACTCCTTCTGGTGACAATTTCCCCTTCTATAAATAGATACTTGCAAAGTTGTTTGTCCTTGATGATGGTGAAAATTATTATCTGATCTACATGTATTAATAGAATTCATGTATGGTGACATTTTATTGATATAATTATTATTTAGCCCTTTAAAATCAAGGAATTTCTTATAACATGCAGAGTTACAGGCTTTTTATACGCCCCCATTTTTAAGTGGACGTATATTGTTGTCGCCCCTGTCCGTCCGTCCGTTTGTCCACACATGTTTGTGAACACTCTACAGGTCACAATTTTTATCCGATTTCAATGAAACTTGAAATATAGGTTTATCACCCTAAGATCTCGGTTCCTTTCGATATTGGCATGTATCGGACTGTAACTTCATGGATTATGGCCCCTGATTGTACGAAAAATCACGTTTTTAGCTTGTGAACACTGTAGAGGTCAAAATATTTATCCGATTTAGTTTAAACTTGACATGTATGTTTATAACCCACAGACCTCGGTTCCTTTCGATAATCGTGCATATCGGACCATAACTTCCTGAATTATGGCCCCTGATTGTACGAAAAATCGTTTTTTTAGCTTGTGGACCCCATAGAGGTCACAATTTTTATCCGATTTAAAAAAACGTTACAATATATCACCGTTATAGCCTAAGGATGGTTAATCGAATTTTGTAAAAATCGGACCGAAACTGACATACAAAATGTCCGCCCCTCGTTCGCAAATTGTGTCAAAATATTGTGTATCAGGGTTGTGAACCCTCTGGAGGTCGCAATTTTCATCTGATTTTGATGAAACTTGAAATGCATGTTTATAACCCACAGATCTCAGTTTCTTTCGATATTCGCGCATATCGGATGGATCGTAACTTCCTGAATTATGGCCCTTGATTGAACAAAAAATCACGTTTATAGCTTGTGGTCCCTGTAGAGGTCACAATTTTTATCCGATTTAAAAAAAACGTGTGAATATATCACCATTACACACTAAGATCTTGGTTCCTTTTGATAATCTCTGATACCTGAGCTTAACTTCCTTGAATATGGCCTCTGATTGTTCGAAAAATCACATTTTTAGCTTGCGCATTGATTTCGTATTTCAGGAAAATCGAAATGAAACTGCCCGACAAAATGGCCGCTCTTTGTGCGCAAATTGTGTAGAAGTGTGTAATACGAAGGTTGTGGACCCACTAGAGGTCACAATTTTTATCTGATTTTGATGAAACTTAAAACATATCTTTATATCCCAAAGATCTCTGTCCCTTTTGATATTTGCACATTTCAGGCCATAACTTTCTGGATTATTGCCCCTGATTGTACAAAAAATCACGTTTGTTTTTAACTTGTTTTCTATCCATCCTTTGCAAAATGTGGGTGTATCCTACCTGTCAGCTGCTGGTTTTTTAATAACTTCTATATATTTCGGAAGATAATGATGACAGTATATAGTATAATCCTAATAATTTTTTCAATCAGGGGTCTGGTAACAAACCTTTATATACCTGGCCAGCCATCTTAAGATTTATTAACTTCAGTAGTTGCCTGGTGGTAAAATAAAAGCAAGCATCAAGAAAAGAACCTAAATTTTAAATTGTATCTATCAATAAAAATGTCTTTAAAACAACCTTTGGAACAAGATGACCACGCTTCCTCCCCAAAAAAATACATTCACTAAGAAATATCTGATTCTCTTTTTGTTTTGGACAGTAAAATGACAATAGAAAGCTTTAAATAAACCTGTTTAAAATTGCCTAAATTAGATTAGTCATAGACCTTAATATAGACTAACATAGCTGATAATCTCTTATTATAAATTCACCCTCAAGACATGTATTATAAATGAGCTACAGTTAAGAATGTGGTACATCAACTACATAATTTATGCATTCACAAACAGATAAGTCATGTCAATAGCTATATTTAGCTCTACTGCTTTTAATGTTCTTAAATTACTATTATTATGTAAGGATAATATTATTTGGTATCTAGTTTAATACATAAATACATTAAGTTTGATACTCTAGTTTAGTATTCTAATTGCTTGATTCTTTTTGTAAAGATAAATATGCATTATGTAAGATTTAGATGGTCATTCTCAATATAGTAGTTTTACAATAGATAATGAAAAATGAATATTATTAAAAATTTCAATCAAATTACTTTATTCCGAGTGCAGTTATTAATGTTTGGAGTTTTAACAAGAATAGCTTAGTCTTGATTATCAAGGCTATGATTTTTCTATTTTTATACGCCCACATTGAAATGTGGATGTATATTGCTGTTACCACCGTCATGCATCCACAAGAGGCTAAAGTTAATATATCCGAAGACTTTAAATTTATACACAGTGTTTAAGGTCATGAGACAAAGAAGCCTCTTGATTTTCAACGTTTCAATAATTACTGCCAGAGTTATGGCCCTTGATCACTGTGAAAATTTTTATGGCCGCTCTAGAGGCTAAAGTTAATATTCGATTGACTTTAAATTTATACACAGTGTTTAAGGTCATGAGACGAAGAAGCCTATTGATTTTCAGCGATTTCCAGATTGCCAGAGTTATGTCCCTTGATCACTTTGAAAAATCTTGTGGACGCTCTAAAGGCTAAAGTTAATATCCGATTGGCTTTAAATTTATACACAGTGTTTAAGGTCATGAGACAAAGAAGCCTCTTGATTTTCAACAATTTCCAATAATTACTGTCAGAGTTATGGCCCTTGATCACTTCAAAATATCTTGTGGATGCTCTAGAGGCTAAAGTTAATATTCGATTGACTTTAAATTTATACACAGTGTTTATGGTCATAAGACGAAGAAGCCTATTGATTTTCAATAATTTCCGATAATTACTGCCAGATTTTCAAAAATCATGTGAATGCTCTTGAGGTTAAAGTAAATATCTGATTGACTATAAATTTATACCCGGTTTCCTCCCACTGCTAAAGACCCCTACGCGCAAGCGAATTATGTAAATAAAATTAAACCATATGTTAGTCCCGAAATGACCTAGTTTGTGTCGAGTGGACGTTAAACCCCATTTCTCTCGCTAACCATTCAGCCATCCAACCCCCCTTATGTATATAATGGTTAGTTCTATTTTTTTTTGTTCGGCTGTTGTGAACTAAAAATCATTCATCATTAATCTCTTTTAATGTAAGCTTATTTAAGTAGTTCGTTGATTAAGCCTACTTGCTTCTATCACTTATCAGTAGGCCTACTAACGCAAAACTATAAAATTCTACACCAACGATAAAATCTGAATCACTGTCATTCAAAAAGGCAATCTGTTTCACAGAGAATTATGAGTCTTCTCTAATATCTCTGTGTGACGTCACAGCACGCGGCGTCAATCATTGGCTGAATGGCACGTGCATTGTTTACATAAGATGTTACTGCCTTTTAGTCATTTTAATACCCATTTACTAGGTGTCACAGCTCCATTGCTCGCGTTGGAAGAAAGTCGTTTTTTCCCGATTTGTAACCCCTTTTAAACTTAACGTCATACACTGGCTATTTAATTTTTTGTAATAATTTTAAAATATTTTGGAAGCAGATATCCTGCTCTTTTGTTTGATATAATTTTTATGTATGTGTTCATTTTATCAATTTCATAAACATAAGTTGAAAAACGTCAATTTCCCGTGTTTTGACGTTACGCTTAAAAATTTTGTCACGTTTTTAAATGAGGGTACCCCACTTCGAGTGCTCGACGTGGACACTTATTATTAATATTATTTTTTCATTCTAATATCATTAGAAAGATAAATGAACGATCTTTCGATCGGTCGGGGGTGCTTTGTTGGCATTTCGAAATATCGGGCATTTTTTGTAAGTTGAACACTTCAATTCACGAAATCTTTTTTTGAGGCGATTTGTCGATATAGCACCCCCGACCGATCGAAAGTTCGTTTTATTGTCGTTTCGATGCTATTAAAATAAACAAAATTGGAGCATGGTAAGTGTCCCCGCCGAGCACTTGAAAATGGTATACACTGGGCAATTTTGTCAAAAATAAATCGCGTAGTTTTGCCTTGTTATGACGTCATTTCAACACGAGAAGAAACATCCATTCCAAGTTCCTAAGACTCATATTCGCGGTTAATTACGTCGAAATGCAAGGCGATGTTTATTTATGAATCAAGCGTTATGTTATATGAATAAAGGTCTTGACTGAAAATGAAAAACGATAGTTTAATTTCCTTTTTTTTACGCCTTTCTGAGGGCCGACTGTGTTTACATCACGTGACTCATATTCGCGCGTTTTTATAACCACGTGACAGGATATGAAATATTAGAGACTTTTGGCAAGGGTAATTTTCTGGTCCGTATCGCGTATCCGTATGGATTTTGCGTGTGACGTCATCAATGTGTGTGTATTTCTCATACGTGATACGGCACATGGATATGGCAGCACGTATCGAACAGCTTTCATACGGAAAAGGTCCATATAACATTGTCGTGTCCTTTTACCGTCTTTTTTGCTACTTTTAAAGTTTTAGGCGCTGAAATGTTGTATCGTAGCGTTTTTATGAATCTTTGTGTATTCTAGAACACAAAGGTGTATATTTGATGTGATTTAGGGAGGCGGAACCTTGCAAATCTGGTAAAGAGGTATAAACTTTCTAAAATGATACATTACTGAAACCAAAAATTGCAGTGGAGTCGAAGTCGAAGATTTTAAATAAGATTCGACATTAATTTTTTTTTTAATAGCCCGGCTCTAATAGGCACTTGACTAGTACTGATGGTGATCTTGATAGATATCTGCCATGCTGTAATAGAACTAAGCTCAGCTGATCGACGCACACGTACACGACGCAAAAAAATCTGCCAAAACTCAAAAACTACATTGACGCAGCGTATTACGTATACGATACGGTTACGTGATAGGATGGGAAAATTCTGCTTGCCAAAAGTCTCTATTGAATGGAAATTTCCTGTCCACTACTCCACGTCTCTACTTTTAACACCAAACATTTTTCAAGAATTGATAAATGCAGTAACATTGACGAATATTTCAATGCTCTGAAATAATAAATTCGCTGTTACTGTTAACTGAATTATTTAAGCCTAATTTTAAAGTATTTACTGTGCACACGATCGGAAATGAAACCGTGAAATATCCACACGGGTCTCTGACTCAGAGAGCCATTACGTTACTGCAGCTCTGTCAGTGTGAGGGGAAGATACGATTTCTATTCACTTATAAAAAGGAATTATACCCAATAAGTTGGACCAACAAATGAATTGACGCTAGCTAAAATAAACTTTGAAAAATGGCTCAATTTCTGGATTTGCCGTTGGCGATTTACAACATTTCGTTTGAGTTTGATTTTGATGATGGAACCGACATGTCTGTAGATTAAAATAAATTAGGTCAGTCATGTCAATATACTTTAAATACTTATTACTATTGATACGGATAACCAATTTATGCAAAATGTTTTTTTTTTTAAAATAATTTAGCATTATAAAACAGTTGTCATACTAATTATTATAATTTTAATTCTTTGTTTTTTATTTTAGGGAAATATATTATTATTTGTAGTCTCGAGATATTTGTTGCAAGGACCGACAAACGTAAGGCCTACTTTTTAGGCCTTGATTTGATATTTACATTGATGAAAATATTGCCTACAAAATAAAAATGAAGTTGCTCAATAGGCTACATACCGATTTGAAGGAATAATAAAAATATTCAAAAGTGAAGTAAAAACAAAACAATTGTTTGACTTTGAGTCAAAATGTAGCTTCCAGGCCTAAGGCCTTTATAACATGACAACATCATAATCATAGCCTATCACTATAGTATCAGTGAGTATCAGTAACTACTTTTACTGTAGCCTACTCTTTAGAGAATATTTTTTTTATTGGTCAATCTTCTGAGTAAAAAATAATATGTCAAAGCAGAATTCTTCTCATAACAATGATGTAAGCTACCAAGCAAACCAATGCTGAGAACAATGATAGTGAAAACTGTTGTCTTATTTTTTAAAATTATGTAGTTGCTATGGCAATCACCAGAAGTCCATAATATTTCACTAAAATTATATAATTCATAATATTTTATATTACATGGGTTGTAAATGTATGCTAAAATGCTTACTGGTACCATACTTAAAATGTTGCTTGTGATCATTTGGTTCGTCATGGTAAACACCATTGAAAATGGTACAACATTGCCTTTTTGAGGGTGTTTTTTTTTATCATTGTTGGTTGCTATAACAACTAAATATTAAGTAATATGCAAGAGTAAATATAAGTAATTTTAATAATTCCCAAACATATTTACTTATAAACAAAATACCTCTTCAAGATCTTAATTTCTTCATATTTTTTTTATGTCTTATTAACTGCCAAAATGAACAATTTGCTACAGCCGAATGTTTTTCGAAAGTGAACCCCTTGAGCCCTTTCCGGCTCTTAAGTGAAGACGAATAAATATTTTGATTTTATTTATTTTTTAAAATCTTACCCAGTTGCTTGTGATTTTTAAATAATACAATTATCAATATTGATGTCATAATTATTGGAAAATAATGGTTTTTTGAAAAAAATAACTGGTTGCTATGGTAACAACCTAACCTCCTTCATATTTTTCTCAAACTTACACAATCCATATCATTTGATATTACATGGGTTTCAAATATTTTAAACTGCTTACTTTAAAATGTGGTATGACGTTTTGGGTTATGGTAAATAGTGTTGAAAATGGTAAAAATTGTATTTTTTCCATTTTTGGTTGCTATAACAACCAAAATTGTTAATATATGGCGGATTGGAAATATGTAATTTTAAAAATCCACAAACTTTTTGACATATTCCCATAATTTCACTTCCTTATCTTCATTCCTTCTTATTTTATTAATGTCCCCAAAACGCCCCAAAAATAGGCAATTGTGGGCAGCAGACAATTGTTCAAAAATTAACATATATCCAGCTCTTGAGAGAAGGCATATTGATATTTTTACTATTTTTTTTTCTGTTAACCTTACTTGATAGCTACTGATTTTAAAATGCATAATAACCAGGTTCAATATTTCAGATGTAACATGGACAAGACCATTTTTGCTGAAAAAATTGACCAAAATCACGTTGACAAAATGGAATTTTTGAGAAAACCTAGGTATTTTGGAGTTGCTGGGGAAACCAGAGTAATTGTCACACAAATGTGAAAATTAAAACAAAATTAGCCTTAAAGTTGTATTTCATGAATTTACATTTACAATTTTGATAGTTTTGATATGAAATGAAATATGGCATCACAAAAAACACCAAAAATGACTTTTTCAAAGTGTTGAAAAACCTTTCTTCCGCGAAAAGTCAAAATTCACAACTTTGAGCCTCAATAAAAAAAAAAAAATTCATCCGATTTTGAATCTGTAAAATGTTTTGTGAGAAGAATGATGAGATCTACATGAAAAGCTAATAAAATCTTATACTAAAGTCCAAAAGAAATATACACACTAAAAATATGACTAAGTTTTGTTTAAATAAAAAAAATGTGATAAAACTACACTGAACACGTCTCGTGCGTCCAAACTCAATATTTCTAAGCAAATAAAAGGCAAAACAAATGGACATTGTACCCAAATACCGCATACAATGAAAAAACGACTTTGTTTAAAACAGGACGAAATGAACAGTGTATATTTTCTTTTGGACTTCAGTATATGTATAACCATAATCTCAAAATAACTTTTTCCACCTACATTTACACTAAATAGGAAATAATTTTTACCTACAAATACGTCAAACGTCTTTATTTATTTTTCTAATACATCAAAAAAATGTTTTAGAATTTGATTTGTCAGTGGAAAAAAGTTAACATTTGAGACTCATTAAGTCGCATTGATGTCATCCTTATCAGTGATTGTAGCAGCCTAGCGAATATTCACTGATCAGTGTGTCAAAAAGGATGGTAATCTGTCGTTAGGAGAACGTCGTCCTATAGGCCTAGACATATCACTTTTCTATTATAGTTTTTCAAAAAGAAATAGTAAGATTTTTCACTGTCAAAATGTCAAACAGGAAGTAAACAAACGAGAAAAAGTTGTCTGTTCATAAGGGAAGTAACTGTCATTACGCTAGAAACATTGCATTCGGCTAACTGGTTTTGTCGACAAAAGTCACTGTGGGTACTTAACGGTAATGTTATAGGCGTCAGCAAAAGTCGCCATGGGTCAGTTAAGAGTGAAGGTCATGGGATGAAGAAACCTAGTGATTTTCAACAATTTTTGATAATTCCTGCCAAAGTTATGGCCCTTGATCACTTGAGAAATCTTGTAGACGAAATCTAGAGGCTAAAGTTAATATAAATTTATATGCAGTGTTTAAGTTCATGAGACAAACAATCAAAACAAATTCTAATGATTTCTGATAATTACTTAATGGGTTGTTTCTTGTAATCAGATTTTAGTGTGTTGTAAATGTTTTCATTACTGACAAAAGAAAAAATATGCAACAACCCTTGTTAACTGTTGGACGACTTAGCTGCTGTAGGCGTATGTTTCATTGCCTGGCAACCCATCTTTTCGCTAACTGATTAAATGGTGCAGATGATCTAATCCAATTAAAATCCAAGCCATTTGTTTGTCTAAAGTGTTGATTATGGGCTTGTCACAGGAATAAATATCTAAATAATAATTTAACAAACATTTTAAGCCAGAAAAGGGACCTTCAGTAGGCAGATTTAGCTCTTAGATAATACATCTTTAATAAGTCAAAGTGTTGTCTATTTATTTTGCGTGAGGCAGTGGACATCTTCCTGATGGCATTTAGTTCTATAGATAACAATCATTATATTAATATACACACAAAGTTTCGAAACAATTTTACTAGTCTTTATGATCCAAACAAATTTAGAAATGAACATATAATGAGAAAGGTACAACAATAATAAAAGAAACCATGAATTAGTAATCATGAAATGCTAGGTTATATTGATTACACATTAAGTACTAAGATAACAGTTAATATAATTACTACTAAAAATAAATGCCAATAAAATCACTGGAGCATGTCAAAGCCCTATTTCCTGGGGTGCTTGCACAAAGTTTGATGTGAATACTCAAGTATTAATTTGACCAAATATGACTTATTTTCACTGCAGGAACATTTTGCTTATGGGGCAAGACGCAGGACATGCATTGGCATTATGATTCCATACCTTGTTCAGTTGTGTACAATGTATATCTTCATAGACAAACTTAATTGTCGTTGGTATCTTCAAAAATATTAATAAATACATATAATTGTCATTGATATTTTATTGCAGGCCCCAAATCGTAGCACACAGATATATACTATTGGATGTATTGATGCAATGTTGAATATGGCCGAACAGAATTTACCTATTGTAGGTGGCGTTGTGATAGCTTTTACAATTCCTCAGGTAAAACCTTATCTATAGCCATTTCATTCATTTACATATTCATAGATAAACTTACTACTTTCATGTCAATCATGTGCATGCAATTATTGATTTCTGAACGAAATGACAATCCAAAAATAAATAATTTACTATTTGTCGTCAAAGGCAAGTACATGCAGCTAGTCTGATTTACATCAGTTACATAGTTTTTTCTCTGTCCGTCTGTCATACTTGTTTTCCCAAATTATATTATTAGAAGTTAAACTTTAGTTATATAAATGAAATTTGGTACATTGCTGTATATATACCAGGGAATATGATAAGCGGCAGACCTGCAACTCTACCGCATCACGCGGTAAAGTGCCGTGAAAAGGCCTTGTGTACCGCTCTACTGCGCGGTAATAAATTTCTACTGCATTTTCAAACAAAGAGTTTTTTAATTTTCTCGCCAAAACTATGGAACTAAGGGAAGCAACTATTTGCATGTAAACAATAAAAATCGCGACTTTCGGTTATCAACATCGATTTGAGATATTGTAAGGTGTAATTTATCTAAGAGATTTGTTCTCAAATTCTTTTCAATCTATTTTAGAGTTAATAAAGCGGATATAATTATTGGAACGTGTTCCAAATACTCTTAAAATGAGTTGCGATAAACTAAACAAATAGCGACCAATTTACGGCAGCAATGGCTGACACTATTATACGATCATAGGCATTATTTCAAACAATTAAAAATCATTGACACGGGAAATAATAACACAATTACCTCCCTTGTTTTCATATTCCCCCTATGGGAGAGAGAAATGGGGTTTAAAGTCCACTCTACACAAACTAGGTCATTTTGGGACTAACACATGGTTCAATTTATTTTAACCACTCGCTTGCGCGTATGAGTCTAGCAGTGGAAGGAAACTGGAGGACCCGGAGAAAACCCACGAGGTTGGACAGGCGACCATACTCCTTGTCACGTACAAACCGGGGAATCGAAACCCCGCCAGTTGACTCGACGACAGACCGTATGATACAGCCCGCGCGTGCTAACCATTCGGCCATCCAACCCCCCTCCCCCCATGGAATAGCTATCTTCAAACGTTTGAATTTGAAGTTGAAAATGATATTTTTGCCAATTTCTCAACTGGCAATAGGGAATTATAGGATTAATAGGATTATTCTTTAACAAGGTAGGACTGTTTATAGATACCATCTATTTTAAGGCTTTATTTTAATAAATTTTAAAAATATAACTTAAAAATATGAAACTGTAACTAAGTGCGAATCAAATATTAAACTGATTAGCAGAAAGTTATCAAATTTAATGGAATCTGAGAATCAAGTTTCTTATCCCAAACTCTGTGTGAAACAATGTTTAACAAACGTGATTTACTGTTCTACTTCGTACGGACATTTTATTCGCCTTGATGTCACTCGATGAGATAAAAAGTAGTCAAAGATTAGTCAATAAACTAATTGTAAGCTAACTTTTTAACAGTCATTCAGTTCACGGTCTAACTAAAAATTAGTACAAACGTTAAATTTGATAAATATACAAGCCTGATAATTATTCAGAAGAAAGCAGGGGACTATTAAAAAGGCTTTGTCCGTCCGTCTGTCTGTCTGTCCGTCACACTTTTTGGGACACAATAACTCTCCATCTAATTGAGCTACAATGTTCAAACTTGGTGTAAGCGTTTATTAGGTCAATGCCTTGATGGAGTTCGAAGATGAACATTTTCGGCTTAGGGTATACAAGCAGAGATAAGCAATTTGATTGGTTGATGCTTTGGGACACTATAAGTATTTAGTTCTAATTAAGTGAGAGTGATGAAACTTGGTGTATAATTTCACTACATTAATACCTTGACTAAGTTTGATAATGAGCATGTTCTGCTCAGGGTAAACAGAGCGATAAGCAATTTGATTGGTCAAGACATTGGAACACTATAACTCTCATTCTAATTGAGTTAGAATGTTCACACTTGGCGTAGGTGTCTATTAGGTGAATGCCTTGATGGAGTTGGAAGATGAGATTTTTCTGCTTGGGGCAAGTAGAGATAACCAATTTGATTGGTTGATGCTTTGGGTCACGATAACTTTAGTTTTAATTGAGTGAGAGTGAGGAAACTTGGTGTATAGCTTTATTACATCAATACCGTGACTAAGTTCGATAATGAACATTTTATGCTGAGGGTAAGCAGAGCGTTAAGCAATTTGATTGGTCGAGACTTTGGAACACAATAATTCTCCTTCTAACTGAGGTAGAATGTTCAAACTTGGTGTAGGTGTTCATTAGGTGAAAGCCTTGATGGAGTTCGATGATGAACTTTGTCTGCTTATAGTAAGCAGAGATAAATCTGATTGGTTGATACTTTGGGGCACGATAACTTTGGTTATAATGAAGTGAGAGCGATGAAACTCCGAAGATAGATTTATTATATCATTACGATGGTGCGAATTTTCTGCTTAGGCTAAGGAGCGATAAGCAATTTGATTGGTCAAGACTTTGGAACATAACAACTCTGCTTTTAATTGAGGTAGAATGATTAAACTTGATGTAGACTAGATGTTGATTAGGTGAATGTTTTGACTGAGTTCAATGATTAACATTTCTTTGGTCAATGCTTTGGGACAACATAATCTTGATTCTGTCTGATAGAGAGTGATGAAACTTAGTGTATAGTTTGATTGCTCGATACTTTTGAAAAAAAATAAATGTGCGATTAATTAATATGTGTCATCTATTTATTTTGGTATTTTGGCGGGGGACATCAGCCTCGCTTTTAGTTTGTTTGCTTTCATTTTCTGCCGTGTAAATGAAGATACGTAATTTTGGAGGAGTATTACTGGCGTAAATTTGAAGCAGGTAACCTACGGGTCAGTACGCTTTCATTCTGTCGTATTACGGAAACACATAATTTTCTTGGAATGTTTACGGACGTAAACTTTTTTTGTATTTGGAACACGATATGCTGCATAACATTAACATAAAACTATTTGTAGTTGAAGGGAACGAAAGCCTCCCATTTTTATACCGGTAGAAATTATGGCCTATACAATACCATGAAAATTTACTTATTTGCTATACAATCAAGAGGAACTGCTAATCAATTTTCAGATTGATGTGCTCTTTTTTTTAAACATCCAATAATTGCTAATCAATTTTTTTTTCTTATCATATACCCTGATATATAGCAGGGTTACAGATACGGTTTACATTTTAATTAATTCCAAATTTTTTTAACTGACTTTGTTGATTTTAAATCCAAGAAAGTTCAGTTTTCCGGAATATTTTTGTTCTTATTAAAGGTTTAGATATTTCATCCTCATAGTAACTGAATTATTGCCCTTTGTTTACTTAAATCAATGAAAATTCAGTTTTTTGAATTTCTTTTTCTTTTTTTTTTAATAAACTTGGAGATATTTGATTGAAATTTTGTACACTGCTCTATATAGCAGAGTTATAGATCAGGGGCCTTATTCATTGTAAAAAAATTAAGCTAAAATACTTTAGGGATACAGCCTTTTTATTGGTTAAGGGTTACAAAAACTGGTGTACATTTTAGCTTTAAGCCAATCAAAAGGCTGCATTCTTAAAATATTTTAGATTAAAATTTTGTGAATAAGGCCCCAGATTTGTGTTTTGTGGGATTCAGTTATTTTTTATACACCCCCATTTGTATTTCAAGTGTTGACCTTGAACACTTTTAATAAAAATCAAATGTATAATATTTATATATTTTTTATTTCAGTTGATAGGCATTTGTTTGGCTCGAATGTTGGAAGGACAAATATTAGATCAGGTTGCTCGATGGGAACGAAGGTATAGATAAATACATTTACCTCCATTCTTCCTGCCTCATCAACTTCTGGCAGCTTTTCTATTTGACTTATTTATTCCTATAATGTGCGGCCTTGCTGTTTATAAAAACTTGGATTATTTTCTTTGTAGTTTGTAGCATTTAAATATTATAATAGCATTCTACAGTAGTGTAAAGTTAGAACCTTAATAAAGCCATTTTAAAATAATATTCTGCCTCTCAGGTAGTCCTTCATCACTTATGCCTATGGCCTGTTTTTATTTTTAAAAATACAGTCTCATTAATTAAATATTTTAACCAAGTTACAGGAAATAATCCAGAAATATATCATAGGCTCAATTATCAAGTACACAACCCTGATAAATGTTATTACTGGATACTCATATATTCATCTAAACAATGTGAGATAAATGTAGTGCCTTGAAATGTGATGTTTATTAGAAGTCATTTATCAAAGTGGTGATCCTTTGACAAAATAAAAACACAAAATATAGTAAATGAAACTCGTGCATCAGATTTTTGGTAAGCATTAACTTACAACCAAAATGTATTTTTTGTATGGCCTAATTTAACAATTTTTTGAAGGTAAACCGAAAACTGGTGCGATATGTACATCAAATATCAATATTTTATTATTCACTTTTTTTCTTCTATAGAACATAAAATGACTTCCAGATTTGAATTGCTATTATTTTTAAAATACTGCAAACACAATCTCATTTTCTTTATTTTTTTTTGTATTTATATTGTGATGTAGGGGTGTAGGATTAAAATATATTATATCAAAAATATTAATATCCTTCCAAATGGTAATGCTAGTAAAGGTACAAATAAAAAAATTGCTATTATCTCAGCCACCTGAAATAAAAATTGATATTATTTTAATCATGTGTAAATTTAGATTAAATTTGGGGAAAACAAATTCATATATATATATCAATGCTCAAAGTGTGTATAAATACTCAGTTGAAAACAATATCACTGTATACTTTTCATTTTTGAAATATTTTTCGGGCAATGTTAAAGTCTTCATCTTTAGTTGATGGTTTTGTTTCTCATGTTTTTTGATTATACTTGCCGTGTTTATCACATTTTTTTGTTTTATTCTTGTTTTGATATATAATGTTCTGAAGATTTTTATATTTTCTTGATCTAGCATCTTCCTTAACATACTAACAATCAAAATATACTTGTGTTAATGTGTACATACCATTTTTTTTACATCTATTAATTGTTAATATTTAAGCCAATTTAAAGATACTTAGGATATTTTTATATTCATTATTTTATATTAACACTGATTTTCATGTTGATCATATAAATATGAGATTAACCGATATCGTCAGTCAACCTTCTAGTCCAAATGATGTCAGAACTTGTGCCATCTTCTTTGGTGGGCTGATGATATAATATATTCTTATGATGACATATATTTTCTTCTGCTGGCAGACCGTATGTAATAGGATAATATAGTAAGTTAATTAATTTAAAATGGTGATAGATGACATTCCATAATTCAGTTAGCCATTCCTTATTATTTATAATTGTCTGATTTAGGGATTTTTAATTTAGCAATCTGATTAAAATACAGATGTATATTTCATTTCATTTTTTTATACTTTCGATGGCCTCTACTACATGAAGATCTGACTGCTTGTAGCGATAAGTCGTGTCAGAGGTCATACAAGCAGCTTTTGACGCTATGACGTCAGACATTTGATTAACCAATCAACCTTGATGTTTCTAGTGGATTACCCACAGTTCCGTGCACCTCACGCCAAAAGCTTGCCATAACAGATCGTTCCATTGCCTAAACCCTCACATCATCCAGAACACATCAATGATAACAACTCTTCCAGATCCTAGTGTAGTAAAGACAAGTAAAACGAAATTTTGAACTATAAAAAAACGAAAGGAAATAGGATCTGTGTTTTAATCAGATTGTTAATTTAGTTTTCCATGCTATATCATTCTTTTTTTCTGATGGGTTTTTTCTTTTGATAAATGTAATTCATATTTGTATATCACATCAAAGTAGAGGAGATTATTATTTCAAGGGCAATACATATTCAAATTATTGCATGAAAGGAAATTTGCTTTGCTCAAATATGGTTCTTATACTGTTGGTTTTAAGTTATGCTACACTATCTATTACTCAGATGTTGGTAGCACAGTAAGAATTTGTTTTAATAAATGTGACTTCAAGCATTTATTTATTGTACAGAAAGTTGAGTTTCCTATTTTTAAGCCTATACCAAACATTCCAATTCCAAAATTTCATTAGAAATTAGCCACATAATATATGTAAAATTATTTCTACTGAATAAAAATAAGACTTTGCTCTTGAAAATTGATTCTTCAATATGTACATTTATCTGTTGCAATAGGCAGCTCTAAGATTTACAGATATTAGAATTATATGATTTAAATAATGTATTATAGTACCAGTATATCATCAATAAGCGATATCTTCCCAAAGCTGTGTATAAAGAGATAAAAAAAAAAGATTTTATAGTTAATTAGGTGAAAATTAGAATTGATGATCTGCCAGTGTTTCTATTAGACCAGGAATATGTGTCATACAAAATGGTATATTATATCACATTGTATAGGCCATTTTATGTGATATGCATATGGGATAGTTTCGTTCAATTGAAAAATATAGTAAGGGTTTTTTTTCTATTTACATGTGGAACTTTTTAATAATCAGCAATTAAATTTTTATAGGAATGTTTATCCTGATCTTGCCAGGTTTGATATAAGGTTTAATTAGCCCACTGATGATATTATTTTCATAGTTTACAAAACCTTGTTTTTCTGGAAGACAAAAATTACATTTGTATTAAATATTCATAAATTTGATTTTTCAAACATGTATAGTCATGTTGCTTTGCTTTGCTTTGCTTTGCTTTGCTTTGCATCTAATATTAAAATACAGTATCATGAATCAGCCTATGTATTTCAGCTATCCTATTCTTACAAAATGAAGCATAAGTTTTTCAAGTTTTTTTCTCTTTAAATATTTATGTATATAAGCATTGTTTATACAAAGTGCCTTCTGTTTTCACTATATATTATTGTTTGTTTTTTTTTTGATGTTACTCTGGCCAATATTGTGTGCAGTTCCGCCTGTCCGTCTACAATTTGTTTGTGTACACTCTACAGGTCACAACTTTTATCCGATTTTGACAAAACTTTAAATATAGGTTATCTCCCAAAGATCTTGGTTCCTTTCGAAATTGGCATGTATCGGACCGTAACTTCATAGATTATGGCCCCTGATTGTATGAAAAAGCTTGTGGACACTCTAGAGGTCACAATTTTTATCCGATTCACCCAAAGATCTAAGACCATTTCAATATTCACACATATCAGACAGTAACTTCCAGTATTATGGTGTTTTTAGCTTGTTTCTAGAGGTCACAATTTTTATCCGATTTAAAAAAAAAACGTTTTTAAATATATCACTGTTACACCATAATGATGATTATGTTTAAATTTCATAAAAGTATGTAATACTAAGGTTGTGGACCCTCCAGGGGTCACAATTTTGATCCAATTTTAATGAAACTTAAGATATATGTTTATATCCCAAAGATATCGGTTCCTTTCGATATTCCTGCATATCGGACAATAACTTCCTGGATTATGGCTGCTGATTGTGTGGAAAATCACTTTTTTTTTCTTTTTTATTAGCTTATTCTCTGTCCATCTCTTGTAAAATGTTGGCGTGTCTTGCATGGCAACCGCTTGTTGAAAGAGATTTTACAATTGCCTATGAGTAAAAGGTGTCAATACGCTTTTATTTTTGATATTCCTCACAATTTATGATTCGATAGATCTGATACAATTCAGAAAAATATCTTCCTTGTGATTTGAAGATATTAGCACCATGTTGCGGGTAAAAAGATTCAAACATTAGGCCATGAAAAAAAAAAATTCTGGTTCTGCAATATTTAAAAGGGTCAACACACCGTTTCTATTTTTAAAAAAAAAAAAATAAAAAGTCTCATTAATTGTCGCACATTCATGTTTCCTCTGGAAGTGTATCGTTACAGAAAAGTATGACCTGAAACCCCATTTCATTTCACATAAACCCAATAAGATAATTGTAGTGCCTTGAATTGTGAAGTTTGTGACAAGTCAATTAGCCACATGATCCTTTGACAAAATTAAAAACCTCCCTCCAGCATCAAGGAATGTCTGAGAACCAGAATATTTTTTTGTATGACCTTAAAGTCTCTGAAAGTCATTTGTGGGATTGAGGAATTCCTTGTAAACTACAATATTGTGAAACTTGAATCTCTAATGGGAATATTAGACCAAAAATCATTCTGTATTACAATTCATCAACATTCAAGATCCTTTGCAGATGTTATACATGTACACAGGATATGGGCAAAAGCCTGCACTTGCCTGTAACCTTCGCTAAAATCTTTTGATGGACCTCTTTTTAATCTGCTGGAAGATGAGTTACCGTCTATATATTTTGATTTTGTTAATCATACATTATGCAAGAGCTAAATCTACCTATTGCAAGTCTTTCTTTAGGCCTGAAATGTTATCTAAATTATTAGACATTAATTAACTGATCCAGGCCATAATCAACTCTCGATGGCATCAGAGTTCTCCGATATTAAACAGATTAGAACAGTTCAGCCATATTTTGATTTAATTTAAAAATGAATGAGTGAGACTTAGCTTCGAACAACCAGTACGGTGGTTGCAATTATTGCATACGGTTCATTCAAATTATTCATTTTACATTATTTATTTTCGAACGACTAGCTTTTTATCTAAATCTTACATAATGTATCTTTAAATAAACAATTTGAGTACATTTTAGCATGGATTAAGCTGTGGAAAATGCCAATCAGGCTCAGAGATTTTAATTAACTTTTGTGTAAAACAAGTATTAATTTTCATAATACTTGGCTTATAAAGTCTTGACACGATTATGAAAGGAATTGTTTACAGTGGATGGAATTATTAGAAATTGTGAGGAATGTCAGATTTGAAACTAAGTACTCTTGTATTTTATAGGTTATATTTGTACATACATATTTAACTATAAAATAAATAATATTCCATATTTACACTCATTAAACATTTATAGGTCAAGGTATATATAGAGACAGTATGCCTAGTTTTAACTTAGCTTTTTTGCAATCAGAGTGGGTCAATAATTTTCCACACAAACTAGTTGATTCATTATAGAATTTTCTATAATTTTCTAGATTTGCTGAATTCTCTAGCATACCAAATAAAGTAAAGCTTAAATATAGAATTGTGGTCTATATTGTTGTTACCTCTGGCCATCCATCATCCACAATTTCTTGTGAACACTCTACGGACTACATTTAACATGTGATCTGTTTAAAATTTATATGTGTTGTTTACATAAGTGAGAAAAAGGTAGTCTCTATCATTCAGACAAATATTCTACCCAGGAGGTTTTGGGTGTCCGAGACTAAGAAAAAGGAGCCTATTGAACTTCAACAATTACCGTTTATTAATTCTAGGGTTATGGCTCTTATTTCAATTTGCAGAATCTTGTAAATTGTATAATGACAAAGGTATCATCTGATCTGTAGGAAATTTATGTACATGTACATTATTTAAATTAGTTAAACAAAAATGCCTCTTATTCCAAAGCCAATTATCATCCAATCTGTTTCAAACACCTTTTTTATGAGTTATCACATTTTGACATTTGAAGTTTGTGAAAACAGGGTGGAGTTCTCTATGAATTTTTTAAAACTTTTAAAAGGGCTTAGCTGTATTTGTTAACATTGATCTTAGAGCTAGCACATAGGATTTTGCTGGTGGTGGGGTGGGTTAGGTGGCCAGACAAGCCTATCTAAGTTTCTGCATATTTCAACTGATTTAATTATTATATTCCAGACATCCTCTTCTAGCTGTGCAGTAATTTAAAAGGAGACATGTTTCAACGATTTGAGATTTTAATTTACATATCATTTAATGTACACTGGAGTCAATTGTTATACATGTTCTGTATCTACAATGTACAACGATCATGCCAACACCAGTATGCATTAGTTGTAAGTTTCTAACAAGTGATTGCTCTACTAACAAGCTGTATTAATATTTCCATTTATAACCATGTTAAATGTTGTTATAGTCTGTATTGAAAGCAAACATGGGATTTATTGAAAGCAATATTTTCATGCTTGTTTGATCGCCTTTATCAAACAGATGATACCAATAACGAGTAACCAAGTTAATATGTAAGGGAATATTTATAATGACAAAACAGCAGTGTGAAACCATATACAACAAGTGGTCAAAATAACTAAACAAATTCATCCACAGATCAGTGATTGTCATTTAATAAATTATAGTTCTGAATGTACAGTTGGTTTGTCATAAAATGTTAAGGTCTTGCCATGAATGTTCTTTAGACTGAAATAGGATATGTAAACCTGATTACTAGAATTTTTGTCTGAGTAAATCATCTTTGTGTTTTTTCTAATAAATCTGTTGACCAGTGTTTATGTCCAGTCAGAGATAAATACATACATTTACTTTTGTTGTATCTGCCCATAATAGTGGTAAATATTTATGTGGGATGGTTTGCTACATATAATTATGATAGCAATGTTCAAATTGATTCTTCACAAATACTCTTAAAAAAAAGTAGGGGATATTCAGAAACAATACAAAACTGCGGAAATGCACTGCTGTTTTTATTAGAGGTAACCAGTGTATGTTAATAACAGGCCAATTGCCTACACATGAACATAAACAGTACATATGGGCGGCTTATCTGACAGCCCCATTTCACCCGCAAAGAGATACACTGTCAAAAGTGAAAATGGACGTTTTTGATGTGTGTCTTAATAATGAGTAATTGCTCCACCAATCCTCAGACATTCTGCAATTCGTCGTGGCATGTTCCTAATCAACCGTCCAATCACGATTTGGGGCAATCTGACCCACTCCCCTTGCATTGCAAAGGCCAATACTTGCGGTGTTGTCCGTTGACATTGACGTCGACGAACACGTCTCCCCATGAAAATAAACGTAACACACTAAAGCAAAGATACGCTAAACAGTAAATCTTATGCAAGAACAGATAGGAATGCTAACATGGATAGATAAACCAGGACGCGGCAGTTTCCATCAACCCTTCCTTGAAGTGTCAAATTTGACAATGAACCCCTCCCACGTGTATGGCGCTATTGGGTGTCGTATGTGCAGCTCAGTGGTTCTGTTGGGGCGATAAGTTCTTCATCTGTGAACATACTCTCAAAGCATGTCAAGTGTCCATGACTATTTATCATATCACAACCTGCTTAGGTATAAAATTTGCATTTCAATATCCCCTACTTTTTTTAAGAGGATATATGCTTATATACTTTTAAGTATTTTTAAAGTAGGCAGTAATGCTCCTGTCATGGTTGAGGGTGAATATTTATTGCAGGTCAACAGATTTCTGAAGAATTAACCATATTTTGAATATACATGTATTATGCTTATGATTAAATTGATATGTTCAAAACAAATGAGTTTATTATACTGTTTACATTTATTTTTGTAAGACAAGATCTGTTTTATAGAGATCTAATATAATTTTGTTGTATAGACCTATATTATGTTATCTTTTTGAAATTTTGGTTGTACATACAATATTATTTTGAAATAAAATTATTTTCACTACATATTATGTTTATTATAAAGCTAGCCTGATGTAAATTATTGGAATCTATATCAAGCACAAATGCTGCTACTGGGGCCTACTTGTTTCTAGTCTGCAGACTAGTTCATTAGACAAGTGATTAAGGTATCCATGTAATTTTAAAATATATTTCTATAAAGGAGATAAACATCAAAATTTTTTGAAAGGATACATGGTATATTTGGGGTGCACAAGGGGGAAAATCGACGATGGCTGTCATTATCCCTTCAAGGATTATTAAAACCGCTAATCACCATGTGAAATTTAAATCTCTAAAAGGAATATCAGTCTAAAGACGTATCAGTTCTGTTCAGTATTTACAAAGATATGATGAATTGAAAATTTATCATCGTTCGGCATCTAATGCAAACGATATAAACAAGCCAGTGTAACCCTTAAAGGAGCTAAATCGCTAACATTTGGGACCTAGAAATTGACAAAAGTGGGTTGCAACGCATATAATATTGTAATATGAATGTATATAAACTGATTTACATTCAATGGTTTCCGTTTTTACTCCAATTTCAAATCAGTTATGTTCGGCGAAATAAGCCAGCAGTCTCAAGCGAGTGCAAGTTTCTAGCGTCTGGTTATTCCAATCTACATACGCGGTTTGATTTGGTGCAATGTGTCTAGCCTCGTCCCTCGAGTCTCTTGATACAACTGGGGCTGAAGCGCATTATGGTACATGATTCGTGTACCAATGGTAAAATGTTTATTTTGTCTTAAATATCAGATATCAAAAGCCCATCTTTTTCCAGTAAGATCACTCAACATGAATGTTGATTTAATTTGACAAATAAATCGTGTTTTCAATGTTGAAGATTTTGAATGAAATTGAGTTAGAGACTTAGCTACTTTAAATATTGGTCAATCTTTTGATGGGTCTCTTTTAATTAAATTCAATCGAATTCAAGCTGGGAAATATCTACATGTACCGTTGATGGTCTATATTGGTTTAGTTAACAATTTATCGTACATTAATTAAGCAGTGAAAAATTAGATAAAGTCTAATTGTCGATGAGCGGCACGGTCAATTAGCTTATTAGCATATGCCTAATTAATTCCTACTACGGTATGTAGACATTTTAAATTCAAAGAAACGTAGCCGTAGAACGTTAGTCCCGAAAAAATCTTTGTGCCAAGTGGGCGTTAACATTTACTGGTACATTTTTGTTGATTGATATAGACCGTACGGTACAAAATGGAAAGCCGGGTATTTTTCTCGTTTTCTGTATAATGTGTTTCTTGTCATTGTTCAGAAAATGTATCCCAATATGTAAAATTCTATATATCACGTATTCAGATCGATATGCACATCGCACATCCACAACAAACATAGAATACCTGACAACTCATCCCAATAAAAGACAGCTCATCCCAGACAACTCATCCCAATAAAAGACAGCTCATCCTAAGTCAAAAGACAGCTCATCCCAAGTCAAAAGACAACTCATCCCAAGTCAAAAGACAACTCATCCCAAGTTAGAAGACAACTCATCCCAACTTTAAAGCGAGAATTTCAAATTTTCTAAGAAAGTCAAAACATAATTATTTCTATGTCTTTTGCTCAATAGGTTGTCAACTCACAATTATACAATCATAGGTGTCATTCTCACACTTAAATCTCATTTACACAGGAAATAATAACACAATTACCCCCCAATTACCTCCCTTGTTTTCTATTCTCCACCATGGAGTAGATATAATCAAACGTTTGAATTTGAAGAGGAAAATGATAATTTTGCCAATTTCTCAGCTGGCAATAGTGAATTATAGGATTAATAGGATTATTCTTTAACAAGGTAGGACTGTTTATGGATACCATCTAGTATTTTCAGGCTTTATTTTAATAAATTTTAAAAATATAACTTAAAAATATGAAATTTCCGCTTTAAAAAACCCAATCATTCCAAATTGCAAATAAATAATTTACAGTTCAAAACGTTCAACTTTGTAACTTTGGCTGCCATCTTGTTAGTTGTTACGTCATAATGTCGTGAACTCGATATAATTTTAGCCAACCCAGTTCTCCAGTAGAAATCACGACTTCCGAGTCAGTTTTTGTAATTACGAAGGCTATTTACCAATTCGTTAGTTGTATTTTCAATAAAACCGAGGAGTAACGAATACAGCAAAATAATATATATAGTAATCAATATCGGATTTACGAATCATATTAAATTTAAATATTGTCATTGTAAAAGGTGACAAATCACATACAATCACAACACAATAAACTATCATAACATGAGAATACTCTGAGCAGAAACAAATAATTGTCACGATGTCGATGACCAAAAGTGACAATCGACATAATTTGCAATTATAAATAAATAAATATAGCTATAATATTGAATTGTTTATTGCACTATATATAGCCTGCCATAATATGTTTCATGCATATAATTACTGTTTTAATAAACTAGTAATCAATCACTAATTACAATACATTGCAACGAAAGTATACATAGTTTCTTGTCAACAAAAATCAGATACACGATCTCTCATGAACCTCCGATTTGGGCCCAAAGCAGTGTGGCTTCTTAAACTCAACTAAGTTGTTATTTTGTGTTTCCACAGTCAACATTTTTGGAGTTACTGGGTGTTGTTTTGGAGTTTTTAGGTAATTCGACGCGCCCTACGTTATCATAATCATGATGCATATATTTGAAATGAATTCCGGTAGTCTTTCAAATAATTACACCTACAGCGCCTTCACCTGGCCCGTGCAGAGATCAAAATAGTTATTCGTTATTTATTATAATGAATTATGCATTTAAAATAAATTAGTTTTGTGGGAGGAATCGGGGGTTTTCGAGGTTAATTCCAGTATATGTGAATTCCGGTGATTGTAAATTAATTCCGGTGATTAGTCGGGCCCATCAGATGTACGCGATTTTGACAAGAAATTTTAAGCAAGCAAACAAATGGAAAAAACAAAAACCGTGACCACCAGAAGCCAAAATATCAAAAAGAAAATTTTTTCATCACATAAATTATTTGTTTAATTTTCCAATACCCAAGATCGTGTTAACTGGATTCAAACGGAACTTTTCCTGCACACTTGGAGGCGAACTAGTGCATTTCGTTGAATAATTAAAGTAACTCGAGGGCACCTTTTCGGAACGGAGGGCACATAGTCACACACACACACACACACCCACACACCCATACACACACACATACCCTGGTAGGAAATCTCACCGGATTCGAGCGTCATCAAACATTTCCGGTTTCTTTAGTTTTTGCATTTATGAGGGCAGAGTAGGCTATTGCCTACCGACCGAGCACGCCTCTGGTTGCGACCCCATTCCAGAAACTATCATCAGGCCGCGACCCCTCAAAGAACAAAGTCACCTTTTACTATGAAGCATCATCATTATTTACAGATCAAAATGATGGAATGACGAACCAAATCGCGAGCGTGAGAGAGGAAAGATGATTGGCAATGTGGCAAGAGGTGTGTAGATCAGAGATTTGCAAGGGCTGTAGATAAGTTCTAAGCCTACTGTGGAATACCTGTACAAACTCGATGATTTCCATTCATTTTTCTACATCGCCCTTCGAGGTGTACAGACTTTGGCCAACGATGTTGCAAGGCCTTGATGCCGGTTATGAAGAAATTTTCTTCGGCCACCCAATAACGTCGTTCACAGCTGAAATGGCGTCATCATTTTTGGAAACAGGTCTCATCCATGGTTACTAACTAAAACATTATTAGGATCTGCTTCAAAACGGCGCAGATTATTCATTGACGTCAGGAATCTGACACGTCTCTGATCCGTAGTCAAGAGCTTTGGCACCCATCATGCAGAAACGGTTTGTCATTACTAACTCGTTGGTGATAATATGCGCAACCCTCCCATGAGAGATGCTCACAACACCCATGTCATGCAGCCGGATAATGTTTTATTGAATGATTGCTGTTGATGGCTTTCCAGAGCGCGTGTCATGGTCAATGCTTTCTCTGCCACGCTTAAATTACAAAGCCCGCTTCTTTACCGTGGAATATAGAAAGGAGCATCATCCCCTAAAGTGAATACCATGTCGGCATGTATTTGTATTGGGTAAGTCGTTTCAGTTGCAGGTACTTGATGACTGCCCTATAGTTGGTTTGTCCATTTCTGGTGATTTCAATGGGTAAGTTCACAAGATGGTCTGGCACGAAGACAATAATAACAATACAGTTGCAGTTCTTATGTCTACGATTTAGTCAATGATTGTACTTGTTTGTGGCAAAGGTTTGTCTCAACCCAACTGATCTATCCTTTTCAGGCTTAGCCAACCCTCGTATATGCTTTTCATGAAAACATAGCATATTTTTCAAAAGTTTAAGAGCTTGTGAACCCAGGTTTTAATATAATGTAAACTTTGATTGCCACTTCGTTGTTGCTTTGTAATAAATTTGGTTGCCGAAGACCACTAGTGCCAATTCATAGACCACTTGGACCAAAAAAGAGACCACTCGAACCAACCCAAAAGACCACTCGGACCAATTATTTTATATTACAAGACCACTCAGACCAATATTTAGCTTGACTTTGACGTCATTTCAGAGACCTTCTTTCAGCAAGGTCTTCACAGAAATGATAGCCGACATTTTAAAAATAAAATACTGACAATAAATATATTGTTATTTATTTATTATTAAAGTTTAAAACATAGATATAATGGCACTCTTTGATTTTTTTAAAAAGTATATAGGAGAACGTACGCTTTTCTTAAACAATCGTCTATTATTTATAAAACTGTCCATTATTAAATACCAATATTTGACACTTATCTGAAAAATAAACATGTATTTTGGGATAATTTCTTCTCTGAACAAATTAAATTACAGAACATGAAATTACTTTAAAACCTCATAGTTACCGAAATGTCACATGACCGAATGTTGATTTCACGTGTTTATCTACATAAAGAATTCCACTTAAATCCGTCCGTTATATGGCACTTGTCCGTTTGGCACTATTGATTAAA